CGAAACACCCGCCCAACTGACCTCACAGCGACAGGCGATTTCGACAAGAGGCATCGCCGCGAGAACACTGACAACATCCCGATACTGCTCCTCAGAGAGACCACTCAAAACCACTCGGCGTTTGTCGTCGGGCAGGCGGGCGATCTGTCGCACCGTCTTCAGGTTGCGCTTGGGGAAAAAAGGACAGGAACGTGATGAGTGTGAACACTAAGAGGTTTGGTAGCCAGGAAAGCACACACACACACACGCACGCACCTGGGCGTAGGCGATTTGACGCAGTTGAGTGGTACCGATGTGGGGCAGCTGGAGGAGCGGCGTGGACGCGGAGATGGGCGAGAGGGCCTGCACGAGCATCGGTGTCAGGTGCATGCAGTTCTCTATGGTTGCCATCACCTGGGGCATCTTCTTCCGCGAACCACCTTTACAAGACAAGACAGCACGCACTTGCTCAAAAACGCCGCACCAGACTTGATTGACATGCGCACACACACACACACACACGCAAGCCGTTCTTACCACCCCCTCTCACCTTAATGCTGTAATAATGGTGAGAACTGGGTCGGTATTGTGCAATTAAGAAACTCGGCTGTGACGACAGTCAATCGCACAACAAACTCACGATCTTCCGTTGTCATAGACAACACGACTAGCAGACTGTTGATCATCTCCTCAAGGAGGCGCGGACACTGGGCAATGATGTACTGTTTGTCTAGAAGGCGAAAGAAACACGATGAAGAGGCGCAAGGGCGCCACACGGGGAACAGCAACACGAGGGAGACTTACCGACGGAGAGGGACTTGGGGGGCAGGTCCAGCCTGAGCATGTGAGCGTAGATGAGGGCGCGGGCCTTGATTGCGTAGGGGGCACCGACAATCGCCCGTTTGAAGATGGTGAACATGGGAATCTGGCTGATGAGCTAAAAGAAATAAATCGATAAGGTGGTTGCATCCGAGAGAACTTAATTTTGATTGGTGTGATGCGGGGAACTGACACGTCAGCTTCCACAGCCACTATGAGAAGACAGAGAAATCAAGCTCCCAATTCATGTCACAGGACAACATTTTAACTATCTGACCAACGAAACGCCTACCTCTAGTAGCCTTTTTTATGCTAGTGAATCGTCGTGCCAGTGCGATTTCGTTAAAAAGTGCTCCCAAGGATAGTAATTCATGGATAAAGCTTTTGACATAAACAGTTTTTTGCGTGCTGTTTGGAGGGCAGCCCACCAAAACAATATTATTGCGTCTAAACGCTTTCGAAAAGTGTACCGAATCCTAGCCACAATTCGTGCCTTGAAAAAAACAACCAACACGAGAAAATAAGAGGATTCGGGTTAGGCTCTGTGAATAAGCATATTATTTAAAAACTAAAGCATGCCATGGTGTCCTGAGTCTTGGTACAAAAATTTTGACATTAAGAGGGATACGCACAAATACTATCGATGTAAAAAGCCTTGAAGTTGGCAACAATATGTAAATTGAAAGGAAACTCACTGGCGGCAGTTCGACATTATCGCTTGGTCGACAGATAATTTCCTTGTTAAATTGACTGTTGAATTCGTAAGCCGAAGAGAGCAGTTTGATCAGACGAGGCATAGCCATGAACGGATTGTACATAAAACTTCCACAAAATAGTCGCACGGTGACTAATAAGACCTTAGTATTGCTATACTTCATTGAGTTTGACCACCACAGACCCTAAATGACAAAACATGCGTTTCCACTCCTGGCACTCAGAATTCGACAACAAAATAAGATGGACATACCACAACAAGAGGTAGCATCAGCATGAACACGATTGCATAGACACCGACGACTAGCATAGTGTTCTCTTTTTGAATTATCCACTTGGGTAAAGCCATGCCGAAGTTAACAGCTTTTGAAAAAGACTAATGCGTAAGGCAATAAATTACCACCCGGTCCATCCGAATTACCGAATTCCTGCCAGTTTTTATTTGCAACCTCGTCAGTTAGACTAAAATTGTTGAACACGTGTTAGTCTTTTCCTGGGAATTCATTATCTAATTCGAGCAAACTCACGTAATGTAGGCTTTATGAATTCGAATGAATTTTTGTTCGTCACCGCCTCTATCCGGGTGATGAATGAGGGAAAGCTTCTTATAAGCTTTTTTGATTTCTGCTTTTGATGCATCCTAAAGTAGAATAAGAACAAGCAAGTCCACCTTACAGGACTAATAGACAGTTCATAGAAAGGGTCAAATGTCGGCGTGTTAACTTCGATCTTGGACAACCTGAAAGCTAGCGCCAATAATAGAATCCAGGCAACCAGAAGAATGGTTTTACTAAATTCAAAATAAAAGTATTAAAAAATTACATAGAAATTCTCTTTAGCCAGCTTCTAGTTGAAGAAGACCTTAAATACCCTCGTTTGGTTTGACAATGTGCGCATTGACAACGCTTCTTGAATGAATCACCCGATTCCCTAACTTCACATCGAGGCCAAAGTAAATAGGTAACAGGCAAAAGTATAACAGTAAATAGTGCGATGAGAAAGCAATAAAAGGTGTCTCCGTTCTCGTCAAAATTAAAACGATCACCAGACATCACTTTCAAATTCAGCCAACCCCATGCAATGAGCCAATAGGCTCTTTCCAGACCCAACCATTAGAATCACCAATCATATTATCTCCGTTGGAACATTAAACACAGGGCTCAATTTCTTTGTAAATTTAATGTGCACCTTTCGAGTTCAAATATTTCCCACCCATAATTTCATTAGAATCAACTTTTTTAATGATTTAGCAAACTTTAGTCCTAAATACATCAGATATGTTTATCAGGCATTTATAATTTTTAACAAGATTTATAATTACCGACATGAATATCGCCAATCACTCTTTAGTTACAGACCTCTTTTTTTTATTTTTACACGTGCTTTTTTTCAAAAAATATCAAAATCATTTTTAAGGTTCGTTTACCTCTTCAGGCAAATGGGACCAGGGAAATTAATTTGTTAACATGCCTTAAGGAGCGGATTTTTCACCACTTTTGGTGTATTGCAGAAGCCAAATCAAATGTGTTTTCACAAGGATCTGGCAGCAACCCTTTTAGCTAAAGCACTTTTGTTAAAACTGATGTGCTAATGTTCTTTAAGGATTAATAAATTAGACTGAATTAGGCTAGCAGTATCAAGAATTTTTATCTCACATTATTACCAGACCTGGACTGAACCTTAATGCAACCATTAAGGTTAATCAAGTGAGATAATAAAAAAAGAAACTATTTGCCCGAAACAATATGGTAGATTTAGTTGATTATGTAAATAAGGCATTCAAGTAGACCAGGGTTATTTATTTTTCATCAGGTAAGTTAAAAGACAAAATCAGATACCAATTTAGCAATCAGATGGGGTTGACTGCTTGATCGAAATCAAAGTTCTTCATAAATGTTTGCGTCTTAATTAGCTCAGCTTGTAGTGTTACAATCAGTGAAGATTTGCATTTAATATACAAAATTATAACATTTTATTCTACTTACTACAGTAGGATTAGTGTTGATAACAAGCACTAATCTTGGTTTGATTTTTGTTTATTTATAATTAACTCAAAATTAAATATGTGCTTGAAACACAAAAATTGTCATGATACAAAGCAAAAAATTAACATGACTACTTTCTTCTTAAATAGGATCGGTCGTTTCGCATATTTATTTAATTCAGAAAAATTCTTTATTTAGAAGAAGGAAATAAAATTACTTCATGTGGCTGCTGCAGGTTTATATAAACTAACGTAAATAGGCGACCACAAAAAGGATTTCAAAAAGGCGAAAAATAGTAGAATTTTTTATCCAGAATATTTTTATTTTCCTATTAACTCGCTCAAATATGCTGTCCATAATGCTACAGCGTGATTTTTCATGGATATTTTAAAACTATTTCATTTCTAATCGAAAAGTTACTAATCTTTTACTTGTACTAGAAACCAAAAAATCTTTTGAATTTGTTTTAATACGATGCATGCTATGATGTAGTAAATTTTATTTTTTAGTTATAAACCTAATGTCTTTTAACAAAGGCAAAATATAAATTCCAGCATTTGATAGATTTGGTTTCCAACGAGCAGGCTTGAAGCATTAATTTTGTTCGTATGTGTTCGTTTCAATAAAAGTTATTTTTTTTAAACTGCCTGAAAATTAGTTGGCTGCGTCAACTTACTACTCATTCAACCACATCAACTTTATTTATGGAGGCTACCTTGAACAATTATTCCATGCGGCCATTTGCTTTGTTTAATTAAACGATCAATTATATTAAGCATACATGTATATGATTAGGCCCATTTAGGGTTTTGCAATTTGCAACTAAGCAAACAGTTGACATTCAAGGAACGGAAGTTACAGAGGAAAGAGTTTAACCTCTTCAAAGAATAGTTGGTCCCTTTGCTCTCGTTAATTTGAGATCACGGACGTCTTCTCCAAATTTTTCAAGTAAATAGCAAAACTCCAACAGAGGTATTAAAACACATCCTCAAATCGAATTAACCCCTATTTCTCGCCCGCTGCCTTATATCATGTCATGAGCAAGCCTGATTAACCACAAGAAGCTGTTGTGAATCGTGTCTATTCACACCCCTTGATCCGATCGCTCCGCCTCCGACACAGGTTTCCCCTTTTTCGCAGCATGTTGCCAGCCGCGCGGATCCTCAACTCCCCCCTCATTCATACGGACATTTATTTTGGATTATCCTCACACCTATGACTCACACATCTGAGGTATAAATACACACGCGCAAACTCCACACACGACACCAACGAGGTTGAGCTCTGAAGTAGACGGTTGCATCCACGTCCTCTCCGGTCTTCTTTTTCTTCATCGCGGGCATCAAGGAAGCGTAATTGGGCCAGGGTTCGCTCAGTGGCCCCGGCGTGGTTCAAGACCACATGCTGGGATCGTCGTGTATGTCCACGGCTAAACCGATTGTTCTCAATGCATTCTGAACCGCGGTTATCACTAAGCTCTAGCATAGCCTCTAGCCAAGTTTTTCTCTAATGTAGATGGCTCCAACCTTGCAACCAACCTTTCACACTACTCAGTGAATATTAACACTTTACTGATACCACTAACGAAGATAGTAATGATGATAATGATGACTGTCTCAAGACGGCTTCTGATTGGGTGTTTTAAAATCGATAACTGCCAGATGAGTCGTGCAGTTGACAGAAAACGGTAATCGAACGAAGCGAAAGCAATATAATGATGAATGCTCCTTCTTTGTATTAAAGGGTAGAATTCTGTTTTACAACAAAAAAACTAAAAAAATATCCGCATTTAGACACTGCTAATGGCGTAGTTCGTAAACAAAGCAAGCTTGGCAATTTATAAAGCGCTGTCTTATCTAGTGCCGTAATTATTTGCCATTAAGAAACTTACTGCTAACTACTTTAATTCACTGCGCCAGGTGATATCTTTCAGACGCAAATTTTCTTTTTGTCCTTGAATAAAGACACATTCCAGCGTGACCTCCTGACTTGTAACGTTGGTAATTCTTCTCAGCATTGAGACGCAAAGTGGTCTAAGTCAGTCGTCACATCTAGATTGTTCTCGTTCCGTCCAATCCATCCATCCACCTCGAAAAATGTGGAGCCAATGTTATACATTCACTTGAGGTGGCCAATTCACGATGCAGACAGCCTTGAGTATAATGGTTGATTACATCCGTTACTTATCTATGCTAACCTTTCAACCCGGGCGAGTTTGCTCACATATATACTTGCGGTAATTCTATTTAATGATACCGCCACTAACTATATTGATTCTTTTTCAATTCGCAAAGGGAATCGTCTTTGGGGTACATCAAAATTAATTCTCGCCAGCCATCAAAAGCAATATTTGATGTTAAATTTTCTACGGCTTCACAATTTACACTGATTTTTGCTAATTTATTGTAAAAAGTATACAGTGTCTGAAATCTTGCTGTTCCACAAAAGCATCACGGTAACCACTCAAACTTGCTACAATTGTGCTTCGAAGTCTTTTATCACAATGCGAAGAACGCCCTTGTGTCTCCCTGAAACGATTTAAAGCAACTTAGATGGCATTCCGCCTCACTGCCGAGCTACGTTTTACTGACCACTCTTTTGTGCAAAAATTTTGTTTATCTGTTTCACAAGTTTTCAAATGTCCAAAATTTCTTTTCTTGCAGCTACTAGGGGGCTGGTTTACATGCCTGCTGTTCGCGGACAATTGAGTAGTTTTTACAAAATAGTGAAATAAGCAGCCAAATGAATGTTCGTGGACACTCTTGGAAACTAAAAATGATCATTAACAAGCTGGACACAAAAGTGTTTTGCGTCAAACAACTCGTAGTTACTGTACAATGACCATAATATATCACCTACATTAACTCGTGACCAATCAGAGTAACAGATGTGGATGCTTTGATCGTCATTCGCCAACACAAGCCGATTTGATTGGATATTCGACGTGGCAAATTTGATTGGATGTTCCACCTGGCCATCGATAGGCAACACGAGCGTGAATTTAAAAAAAATTAACTAAGTTCTCTACCCGCTCGGGAATCCACAAATTTGTTTAAATTGCCTGAAATGCAAATTTGTTTTTTTTGTTTCGGTTTAAGTAGCCGTTGGTGATTTGAGGTTAAATAACACACTGTAGATTCTGCTAAACCTGATAGAGTTGGTCAAGTCGAGTGTTGCAGATATTTTCATCATTGTGCCGCAAGCTAGCACGCTAATACACGGTGATGCGAGTGGCTTGCAAACGCCTCGACGATGCTTGAAGTGAAATGCACTCCTCAACTGAACCCCTTCTTCGAGAAATCATGCTTCAAATGGCTTTAGATCGTTGTGAGACCACCCCAATTGAAAATCAAATACCCCAGCCTTTGATCAAAAGTGCTATGAGTTGGCAAAATTTCAACCAATCATTACTGAAGATGTGAAAATGAGCATAGAGAATGAAATTAGCGATCATTCCGGTAAATGGTTGCAAAACCAGCCAATCAAGATGGGTTTTGTAGAGGGAGGATATTCGAACTCTGGTGAAATATGCTGTCTCATTTCCAATATTGTTTAATTTGGTTTTACCAGCCAAAAACATAATGGTTTACTATGTGTGTCCTCAATTAGCAATACCTCTCTTGCCCGCTTAAATCAAGGGCAATCGACCTTGCGCGCACGCCTCTTAATGCGTGAGCGTGTGCATGCGCAAACTGCACTTATCAAATGTATTACTTACCACATTCACACACTCTTCGTCATTTCGCTTGCATAACTGACGCGGATGTGTCGGTGCCACCTGCTCCTCGTCATCCTCCTCCTCCTTCTCCTCCCCAACTCCACCGTCTTCGCGTTTTACAGCAGCGACGTGAAAGAGTCCATCGGGGGCCTCATCACGGATGCGCAGGTTTGCGAGGAGCGGCGTCGCATCGACAAGGAGACGATTCCACAGATTAAGAACGAGCTGACGGTTTCTAATTACTCCACTCTGCGCATCGCCTGTCCCACGGCAAACCTCACCTTCACCCAGAACACGACAGGCTACCAGTCGCTTGTGTGCAACCTCACTTACCAAACCGACACCCCCCTGGCTGTGTCTTTTGACACCGACGTTCACCAGATCGCCTCATTGGCGGAACCGTTTTGGATTTACCTGGCCCCGGGGAGTTCTGTGATGACCCTTACAATGCCAATCCGACGTACCCAGATGGGCAGCACCTACTTAAAGATCTGGGTGAGGCAGGCTAAGCCTGGAAGACAAAGCGAATCCCTCCACACATGGGACCGATATAATGCCACCCTAGTGGCGCAGTACACTGACTGGTTGGTGAACGGGACGGCAGCGTACGAAGCCGGCTCGCCCTCAGTGATGGGATTCCACCTGAAGGTGCTGCGGGCGAGGGGCCTGCTAGAGGTCATCTTTCGTATTGTCGTGGCTGTTCTGGTGTGTGGCTTAACGTTGCTTATGGGCTGTGAGTTAGATGCCTTATTGATTTGGCGACACCTCAAAAAGCCCGTGGCTCCTCTCATTGGTTTTCTCTGCCAATTCGGACTTATGCCTACCGTAAGTTGCCCCTCCATCGGAGTATTTTGAGCTAACATTTGACAATTAACCTAGGGCTGTGAAGCATTATTGCCTAGACGTCCTGCCAGCCAAATATGTATCCTGTTTTTCCAGCCCCACAACCCTGATTCGTGCTCCAACAGTAATTGACTACATTCGGAAGGAGAAAATGTTTGTGAATCGACAGCTTGTCATGTGACGCCAGCTATGAAAATGGTCAAACTAGAAACTCAAGCACACTAATTAGGCAGACAAAGAGGACAGGAAATAGACTGCACTGCTAAGTAGACGCATTCAACAATTTACCAAGAATTTGCAAAAATCAATAACAAAATACACGTGCCATTAACTCTCGACCAATGATTAGCGCTCATGAATCAATCACAAATCGATTATCAACGCAAAATGGCGGCAAATTACGGCCAGCACGAGAATACTTTTCAGGGTGTGCCAAGAAAATCAATTTCCCTTCTGTAACGCGACGTTTTCGTAATTTTTTGGGTTAAATTGTTCAAATCCACATTTTCACTGCTCCGAGCGATCCAACTGACGCACCTACTTCGTGATTAATTTTTTTTCCTAATTTAATGCAACCGGCTTTAGACCTTACCACCTTTCGTTTGCACACACATAAAACAAATAAGCACTGCCCATCAATTTCATATTCCTAAGAAGTTCTATTTGCAAAATGCAAAATTACTCAAAGCAATAAGTGGTTAGTGTTGCGGAAAATGTCAATCACACCAACTGACTTGCAGTTATGTTGAATGACACGATATTAGAGTTTTGTGGGTTATTAAGGGGCTTTGGCGCCAACATGCCCTGTGTCGCGTGAGTTGTAAATTCAGGTTGTTTAGGCACGTAGACACATGTCGGAGATGTAGACCGCGATGAGGGTACACCCGCCACCGGCAGAGTAACTGACAGACAGTTGATAAAATACGAAATAAGTTTCGTTATCAAAGTACCAATTGACATCGAGTAACAGGGCCTAACGCGACGTGGCAAAACTACCACTACATCAGCGTTCGCGTGTGCGTGGCGCCGGTTTTCCAAAGAGATGCGGGTCAGGACGCAGAAATGTGTTTTTTCGTGTAGATCGCCTTCGGCATCGCATCGGTTGTACCAATCAAAGCAGAGTTCGGGTTTGGTCTCCTAACAACGGGCTGTTGTCCAGGCGGTGGTGGATCGAACATTTGGACACTGCTGCTGCACGGCGACCTCAATCTCAGCATGACGATGACCTTCGTTAGCTCCGTATTCGCACTGGGTAAGTGACCTCGGTATAGATCCAAGCTTCCAATCCGCCTGGTGACTAACGAAGTGGAGATGCCACATGTACCCGGACCACTCTCCCGGAGTTCGTTCTAATTTCTTCTACCCAACGATCGATGGCATTTTCATGACAAGCATCACCGTGTAAGAGGAAAAGGGTTAAGGCCAAGGGATGAACGAGATTTAAGCAAAACTAGTCCCGTAAGACTTCGACTAACCCTTCGCCATCGCGGTTACTGATGAAAGACAAGTGAGAAGCCAGCAAACAGGTGCTAGCGTACTCGTGTGACGAATCATTATCGCCTCACATACGTGGCGCAACGTGTGCTGCAATCGAGGTCATTTTGAAGTCATGCATGCACCGTTTCACCGACAATTTCACCAGATTATCTACTCTAGCCAACTATAAGTAGTGCTTTTATATTGACGTATCCCTATCTACTATGCATGCCAAAGTCTTGAAAGCGAAGAACTGCACAACTACACACCGCCGTTAAGGTTTCAATTTGGTTCAAGACCTAAACATAGACTGCCTCAGTGAAGTCTCACGGAAAAGTGATCTCTTCATCACCAGGGCTAATTTGTCCTCAACCTCGCATTGTCGAAGCTCTGAAAGCAGCGCCACCAACTTCCAGCCAATCACATTCAGGTAGCTGACACACGCACGAATCAGCTTTTCGTATGAATAAAAGGCTTCCTCCATATACGGATGTATTGCCATTTAGCTGTATAAAAACTGATTTCCTTTGATTAAGGCATGATGCCACTGATGATTTTCATCTACGGACGCTTCTTCATTGACGGGGGCGCCATCAAGATTCCGTATCTCGAAATCGCCGGTCAGCTGTGCTACATCGTGGTTCCCGTCCTCATCGGTATGTTCATCAAGTGGAAGTGGAGGGCGTGCGGTACACGCGCCGCGCGACTCCTCCAGCCCCTCGCCTTCGCCTTCCTCGTCACCATCATCGGCTTCGGCACCTACGTGAACCTACCCATCTACCGCCTCATGGGCGAGT